ATTGGTGTACAAGTTGAATTGTTTTTTCAATATTTTGATTACTTTATAATCAAATGCTCGTTCATTATTCGAATAATTTTGTCCTAAATCATAGTAGATAATTGTATTGCAAAGTATGTAGATTTGCCAAGACGTTCAATTTTTTGTGAGGATTACCCAGACACTTATATATAAGCTTGTGTCTGAAGTAATTCCTAGAAATCGGTTTTCATTTATTATGCAGAATTTGCATTGTAATGATGATGGCAATTATTGAATCGAATTGACAAATTCGACCTCTAATTGATAACATAGCCTTTAGAAGATCAGCCGCTACAGGCATTTTATAATCTTATTAAAAGGATACCAACAGAGGCCCTAACCGTCAAATTTACAGGAACACTTTAGGTAGGATAGGAAAGGGTTATGTCGCTTCGAGGTTATATTCGGTTCAGTTTTTAACACATCACTTCAGTGTGCTTTACGCGTCCATTTTATTAAATTTCTTATTATAATAATAATTAATTTTCCAACATAAATACACCCAATTACAGATAATATAACAAAAAATGTAATAATTAAAATAACATAAAATTTTTATGTTATAAACAAATACAAAATACAATAAATCAAAAATATATAGAAAAAATAATACAAATAATTTGAGTAAAACTCAAAAAACGAAATAAAGATTTAAAAAAAAACTTTTTAATTTTAATTGTTTAAAAAATATGTATATACAGGGTGTTATGTAATTAATGTTATATATTAAAATACTGAATACCTTTTGACATAAGGAATAAAGGAAAAATATTTAAAAAAACATTTTTCCAAAGAGAAAGAAAAAATATGCATTAGAAGTTTTTTATATTTTTTGTGATACGCCACTGTTTACACTTTTGTTTATCTCTGCACACCTGTATTTTGTGAGTACATATATACCAACCAACAAAGTAGCTATGCGTTGCCAGATGTAAAAAATTGTTATTAAAAATTTTTCTTGCAAAAAATAAATAAAAACTCAATAAATACAATATATATAAAACTATAGTTTTATGCCCTTAAAGCTCTAATACCCTTCTGTATTTATTTACTGATCCAGCTATTAGCTTAAGCAATGATTAGAAAATTTAGTACCTTTGAAATTTGAAATCCATAACCACACAATTAATTTTTTCATCAGTTTTTTTCTCTGTTTACTCAGATGAAATTGGGACCAGTTCACAGGTTAAACTTTAAACATTTAATTTGTGTAAATAAATCCAAAAGCACTTCCCTTAGTTAAGATATTTACAATTTGAAAACATAACCTAAAATTTAAAAGAAATGCACTAGATTCTGTCATAAAAGTTGGCAGATTTTGTTTGAATTTACCTTCAGTACAAAAACGCCAAATTGACAATTTGCATTGTTAATTTTGTCATTTTTGTAATTAAGCTAAATTTAACAATGCTTGGCAACTTTTTTGAAAGATTTTGGAAACAGTTGTTACCAACCATAACATAATAATCCACCAGATTAACCTAAAGTTCCTAGTCGATCAGTGGCGTACTTTTTGGTAGGATAAAGGTTATTATAAATTATTTTTAGACTTTGGAATTTAGAAAAAAAAAGTTTCAGGTGCTTCTTTATGGACCCTAAGGAACAACCCATTTTAATATATAACATTAATTACATAACACCCTGTATATATTTAAATAAAAAGTCTAAATAAATTTAAAACTAGCAAAATGAATGAAACGTAAACTTTAAATAACGTCTGGTGGCATTATCTCTGATGCAGATCGTCTCCCGTTCGCTTGGGTTGGATGCAAATCCCTGAGGATTGGTTTCGCCTCTTTCACGACACGAACATCTCGCCAACTATAACTAGCGAACACCAGTTTCCTGTCACTTGTCATCCTTCTTTTCCACAGCCACCCGAAGAATTCGCTTTCGTTTGCCTGTCTCGTTTCGATATCTCTGGAGCCTTTTGCTTGCTTCCATTTATGACAACTCGTTTTCAACCGACCGAATGACAAGATATTGATGTTTCAATAAATGAGGGTAAAAGTGAATGAATTTAGTTTTGTGTAGTTAGTAATTGATCAAATTAGTTTGTCATATAGTTTACAGAATCAAGTAATTGCCCTACGTGTCCTAAAGCCTAATTTCTTTTTTATAAAACCAACTATTTTAACAGATATAAGTCGATCTTAAACCAGTTTATAGAATTTGCTTTAAAAATGGCTTTACACATATAGTTTTAATAGCTTAAATAATAACTTTAAAAATCAACTGATTTGCTCAACTGTTAGACTCTAACATAATACTTACCTACACACGGTATAGGAAATACTTTTTATGTTTTAAATTATTGTGAACACCCTTCTTCTCCTATGGAATTATTAAAAATTTCAATTTAACTATTTTTAGGATTTCAAGAATAAACAGGAGATTCGGATTCGAATTGGTAATCCTGGTATACCTATTAGTACGAGTATGTAAAAACAATTATTAAAAACATGTTAAATAATCTAAGAAGACATCAGGACATGCATAAAGCTAGCATCAAAATTGTTTAACAAAAACTCCTGATACTAAGTACATTAGTACATAAATAAAAAAACTGTTATTATGCTCGTACAAGTAGAATCAAATTTTTTTAAACATTTCTTATTACCGTAAACACCGGTGGCTTTAAATCATAAATCATAAATATTAAATATTGTATACTAAAAATTTGTCTCACAGTGTATTTTCCGGATAAAATTAAGTCAATATTTTATTTTATTTTTATTAGACACATGTTAGCAGCGACATATAGCAATTGCACGGGATTATCGATAAAAAAATAAAAAATCGGCATGTAGTTAACAAAGGATCATCATTCAAAAGGATTGCGCATAATATAGAAATTGTAACGCGTGTATTTTTAAGAGTTTTGCACTGATGCAATATATACAATTTTAAAGTGTAATAAATCCCATTTATTTTGTTAAAACACTGATTTTCCTATAATATAAACTCAATAGAATCGCTCAATTGACAGGTATACCTGTATACCTATATATAGACCAACAAATTATAAATGTTAATTTTATCGAGCGAGAAAAGATTTTTCATAAAAGGGTTAAAGTCACCCGCGAGGTGCAAAGCCACCCGTATTTACGGTACTTGTTTTATTTCAAACAAAATATTTATTTATATTTTTAGGCCCAGAAGTGAGTCTTTGTGCTTAGCCACAACCCAGACAGCAAAATCACATTCCCTGCACATGTCAGGAATATTCCCAGGAATATTCCAAGCGTCCCAGAATATTCCCAGGAATATTCCTGGCATAATCAAATGTCCGCTTTTTGTTTAACCCAGGCATCATAAAAAGAATATTTCATATATATGCCTGCAGAAGACTCAAGGATTGTTAGGGGAATATTCCTTGATATAATTTGGGGATTATTCCCAGCCTTTATTGCCTCTTATACCCAGGAACTTAGCTTAAGTATAGCCATTATTGAGTTGCTAAGTAGATCAGTCCCACTCTAATCATTGTTTAGCTGTGCCATCACAGACGCACATCTCCAACTGATATTATTAACCTATGGGTATATATAGTTATCAAGCGTGCGTAAGCAACGGTGAGAGGTATTGTAACTAAACTAATGAATATTCACTGGGAATGTTCTTAGATGATGCTTGGAAGTTTTAGAGGATCATTCAATGAATATTCCTAGAATGAAGCGGATTATTCCTAGGCGATAGGGAATATTCCTGGAATATTTTCGAACCTTCATTGCAGTCTGGGAATGTCCCGAATAACACACAAAATTGTATCTTGTAATGTATTCCATAATTTAAAATCAATTTAAAGTTAAATGATACATAAAAAGTACAATTATTAAAATGAGAAATTGGAGTTAGAACGGTCTGACAGATGTTGAATTTTATGATTGGTCCAAAATGATCCGTGCATAATGGAATTGGCCAATCACTGAGGCTAATAACTAAATAATAGATCATAATCATTTATTATGTGCCTATGCCATAATCAATCACTTCTGTGTTGAGTTTTGACGACAATAAAGTTTAATTTATAGACCGCTAACCCTAAAACATAAACTAAAATATGCACGATCTAAAGTTTTTTAGTAGTTACTATTTAAGTACTAACACTTTTTTTATTCCCTAATAATATTTTGTGTATTAATAAACTAGGGGTATTTTATTAAAAAATAGTCTTGTTTTAAAGATATCTTCATTTTTTGTTTGCATTTTTATTAATACACTTTATACTTTAAAAAAGCATCTACCCAAAAAAGATATTTTCTATTAAAAAGATTGTTTGCTTTTATTTTGAAATTATGTTTAAACATTTTAAATTATTACAATTCTTGTGAATGTATACGTTTTATATTTATCTACATTATTTAACTACATAACTAAATTCTTAAATTTAATTTAAACAAATCTTTAAAATGTATCTTATGCAACACCCATTTATTTCGCAAACAAAAAATAACAAAATAAAACAAAGGCCGTCAACATGGCAACAAAGCAAAGAGATTCATTAGCTAAGATTGCCACATGATCAAGATACCTATAAGAGCTGCATTTCGTCTATAAATATGCATAAGAATAAAAATGATAAACATCTCAGAGGCTATAGTCCATTAGCAGAAAAAGTACACATGCGAACAATACCAACTCGGGGCCTGTCATGTCACACACGGTAGCTGACAACCCAGCCAGAATTGAAATGTTACAACAACAGGGTACAATCATGGCTGGGATGCTAGCCAATCACTCTCCCAGCATCACTGCATCTTCGACCCCGCGCCTTCCTATTGGTCTGCGGAATCATCTGCGCAAGACACGTGGCCACGTTCGACACTCCCCCAGACCCAGCACTATTCATGGGCAATAAACATTTGGTTTTAGTTGTGTTCGATCGTAGGTAGGCTATGACCGCGAACATGTGTTGCGTACTAAACATTAGTTAAATGCAGTTTCAGTGATTTTTGTTTAGTATTTAATGGTGAACAATGATCATGATGGACATAAGCATGTACGGGCATCATAATCAGCACAGTGCATCGTATAATTCTTCAGAAACGAACTATTACAACTATAACAGTGACAACAATCACCAATTTTCCGGCAATCATTTCCAATCCTATCATTATGAGGATTCTTCATACGTCTACGGAACCACGGAAAACTCTATGGAAACACCACCAAGTCCGCAAGACTTAAACTACTATCATCAACCCATTCAGGAAAACCCCATTATCAATACCGATACAGGTCTCAGCTACACCAACTTGGATTACGCCAACTCCAATGCAAACCACCTGTATCACCATCAAAACAACTATACCGAATATCCGCGCCAGGATGTGCTCTTACGGGCCGACGAACCCGCCGACGGCCCCCAAGTGCATCATACCTATATCAACGATCACAAATATCACATAGACAATGATATCCCTTATCATGCGTTAGGCCAAACCAGTGTTCCTTCGAGTTCGTGCATGGAATTTCAATCGTTGCATAGATACAAAGATGAGGTGATGAATAATGGTGATGGAAGGCTAAGAAATCATGCAATACATAATATGAATTCCGCGCCGCAACAACCAGTATTACCAACATACAAATGGATGCAAGTTAAGAGGAACGTGCCCAAACCGTCGAGTAAGTAATCATATTCAGTTAAATTATATTTCGTCATTCTTATTTACTATAGTTTAAAATGTATTTTTTGCAATTTCGGATTGCTTGTTGAGTAAGACGATTAAAAGCTGCAAAAAAAAATTACGAAGTTAATAGACCGACAATTTCCCTTATAAGTTTTTTTTTAATAAGTGGTTTATGTAAAAAATAACGCACAAAAATAACCCCAGTTAATATGTACATAATCATATCTAAAACAAATTAAACATTTTGTAACAGTAAATAAAAATCTGTAGGTAATCACTGATTTATCCTATGTTCAATAAAATATACTAGCAACTCTTAGAACTTAAATTGCATTTGTACACCATTTTGTACAATGTCCATAAGATATATAATAATCAGGTTTAGGTGTAAAATCGACTTCTCCAAGCGCTGTTTAATTTAAACATGTCCACGTCAGCCAATAGGAAAAATCGTTTTAAAGGGAATTCTGAAGCATCTACAACATATTAGGGGATTAAATGGCAACACTTTTTGTCAATGTCGTTTTATATTATACAGTTTGGGGTGGTAATGTGTTGGAGCAATTCTGAGGTCGGATTCGTATTTAGCGTATAGCATAGCATTAACAATCTTCCGATAGTCTGGTTTTTAATCAAAAGGGATTACATGTTGTCGTTAAGTTTTAGGATTTTAATGCTAAATAGGTTTTTTGAAAATTCCAACCCAGAAAAATATATTAAAAACTAATTTTTTCCACAAAACTTGTACTAGTACTACAATTCCTCTTTAAATAATCCTTTTAAAAATATTTCCATTATCTTACGTTGAACTTAATAATTGAAACGATAAACAAAATTTTTACACATTAGCAAACTCATAAATTTTAACTTTTTCTCGAACAAAAAGTATTATAGACCTAGCGGATAAAGTACATTGCAGAGCACTCATTTCACTGCCGAGGCGATAGCCGAGCAAGTAAATTGTGTCCAAGGCAATTAATAAGCTTTCGCCGCCGGTTTTATATACTATTTTTTTTTCAAGCAATTAATTGAAAAAAAATTAATTCTGTTATTGACATTTTTTGGTTTTTTTTTTCGTAAATAACCGCCCGGCCTAACAACGTTAATAATCAACTCATTATTCACGTTGTTAGGCATCAGTGATTGACTGATTTCAATATTCACTGTTATTTGAACCAATCGGGTTTTAAATTGGGAAAAAGTAATGTTAATAGATGTCAGATTTGTTTATATATACGAGAGGCGACTATAATGATTTTTAAAATCGGGGAAAAGTGAGGTTATAATAACTTTAGTTATCAATGAAAATTACTTAATTTGAGTAGAAAAAGTATAGTCTTACACTTGAAATAATGCGCATTATTTACTCGGATGAATTACGTCCCTCGCCTGACGGTTCGAGACGTAAACCTTATCTCTGTGAATAATAGCCTGCATTATCTCTCGTATAATAATATACTATTATTTAATAATAATTTGAATTTTAAACTGGTATTAATATAAAGTAATTTCTGTACAGACTTATAAGTACAGAGAAATCACATATTATTGCAGAGCATACATTTCACTGTAGATTGTTCTTTCGTCACCGAGTTTTATATAATATTTTTTTAAGCTTTTAATTAAATTATTTCTTAAGTTTCTGTTACATAAGTAAAAGGTTAGGTTCAACTGATATTATTACATTTTGGCTTTATTTCTGTACATACATATGAAGTAAAAATAATTTGACTTTGGAACTAGTATTAATGTGAAGTTTTATATATGGTTTGCCTATTTATTTGTGTTTGTTTTATTCCTGTAATTGGGCCCGTGCCTTTTGGAAGCATATTAAAAACTTAAAATAAAAAAAATAAAATAAAAATATAAAGACTTCGTAAAAGTCTAATAATTTAAAAATTAGACTTGAAAAAAAAAAGATATTAAAACAATTAAAAATGATTCTGAAGAGAAAATTAGTACTTTCAAAAAGAGTGCATAAAACCTTATAGTTTTTGTTCGGATTCGTATTCAGCACGTCAGCAACATTTAGAATGGTATTATTAAGTAAAACAATAAAAAACGATTTTAAAGTAGTGTAGGTACTTAGTAGTTTGGGCAATATTACAAGGATATTTGAACTCGATCAACTGGACTGAAATATGAATATTAATAATATTAATTACAATTTCTTTGCCTAACTAGTATACTATGGCACAAGCGAAGCTTGCGAGCGAGTGTTTAATAAAAACGAGTGTCTAGAGAAGTTTAAAAACTGAGTTTATCTACGACAAACACAACGAATAATTTAATGCCAATTTTATTTGTTAAACATTTAACATCCGTTATTTGCCAACTGTCAACGGATTTAACTTTACTTTTTTCCAATTTATAATAAAGCCAACCCCTGACTAAAACTTTCAAAGGCCACTTTTGCTAACTTCAGCCCGTGACTAAAACGCCATAAAGTCACAGCTTATGAATGGGGGACCAGATAATAGTATACTATGTATCAAGTTTTATAAACGCCATTTTAGTTACGAGTTTAATTAAGCACGAGCGAATCTTGTGAGCGAGTGTTTAATAAAAACCAGTGACGAGTTGCATACTATTTTCGACGAACATAAATAAGAATTTAAAGCCAATTTTATTTGTTAAAAATTTTACATCTGTCAATTGTCAACGGATTTAACCTCACTTTTTCCCAATTAATAATAAAGCCCGTGACTAAAATGACCAAAAGCCACTGTTGCTAACTTACAGCTTATCAGTGGTGGAGTAGATAAAATATTTAAAATGCCAAATATGTTTTTTTTTATATAAACATATAGCTACTTATTATAATAATTTATCGTATACGCTGATAAGCGCAAACATGATTTAATTTTTTAATCACCCCTTATTGCATTTGTTTATTTAATTATGTTTAATTTTTCCAATTAAAAACCAAATTAAAAGAATATCTTTTTTTATAAAACTATAACAATTTACCTTACCTATAAATACTAATAATAAAAATTTGAGTAAAGAAATAACTAGTAATTTAACAAAAAAAATGCTTCAAGGACAAACCTTGTGAACAAAATACCACACGAAAAATACACCTACCTGGCAAAAATATTGCAAAATACACACTTTTATGCGTGCAAGCTAAATTTTATACATATTATTATATTTCGTTAATTATGAATGAATATGATTACAAAATTTAGATTGATATATTTTGTTTTTAGTTTGCTGGCATTTTTTCTATTAGTATAATTTTATGTACCTTTAAATATTACGTTAAAAAGATTCAGGAACATTTACTACTATTAAATAAACTGTCAGCGAAAATAGGAGATATCGAGTTTTGTACACTTAAAAATTTTCTTGTTTAGTGTAACATGGCTTTGCAAGCGTACATAGACTTTCAAAATATGGCAGATTACAAAATTATACTTTATTATACTCTCCGAATTCCATCGAAAATTATAAGGGGTAATTCTAAGGAGCAAAATATGAAAAAAAGTTTTTATGGATATCGAGTCAAAAATGCTTTACTAACATTTTTAAAGCGATTTTTCTTAAAAGGTTTTTTTTATATATTAAACAAGAACAACTTTTTTGTGTAAAATTAAATGAAAACTCATCAACTTCAACCAAAATACCCAATAAGGTTACTCCAAAAAATAAAATGGGGTGCGATGCCCCCATTGAGTCAATATCGTGTCTACAACAGAAAAGTTGTATTTGTTAACTCTACACACTAAAGTTTTTAGTTTAATTTAGTTTCTATCGGCATGTTTTTAATTAAACTAATTTTTCAAGCTTTAAACGTTTTGCATAGGCGTTCAGTCAAGAATATTAATTATATTTACATTATTTAACTAGCTGCATGCGATATTTTACCCACACTTTACTGTGTTGCTTAAACGTTTTAATTACCGTTAACTTTAGGTCGAGCATTAGGAACCTAAATAACTTCATTATTAAATTAACTAGTTAGTTGGCTTTAACCTTTTTTAATATTAAAAGAAGTATTAAATTAAGCCTTAATAAAACCTAATAAACAAATAAGGGTGGCAAGGGCCTATCGTTTCGTTGAATCGATTTCGTATGGCATGTCTGATCTGGGACGAGATAAGCTACACTTGACCCCCTATCAGTTTTTAAGTCCCTACGAGTTTGTAGCAAAGTACCTTCTTACATTTGCATAACTTGAAACGGTTAACCTATTCAAATATTTAAAAGAATATTTTTGTTTAATTATTATATAAAAATATTATCCTTTATTTGCCTTAAAGTAATCCTTTATATTTTAAAAGACTAGTAAACATTTGAATTGTTTTATAAAAGCAGCCACTTTAAGTCCATTGAGGTCGTACAATGCTAGAAAAAATCTTCCCACAAAGGGACAAATTTAAGTCCCAGTAGACTCTACTGAGTATACTCAGTAGAGTATAGAGGAACCAAATTGACATCAAATTTGGAACCCAAATTTAAAGACAGATCAGATCAGATAAATTGGCATTAACAGTTTTATCTTACTTTAATAAAAAAAATCATTACAATAACAATGAAGTTTAATATTTTTTTTCACAATGAGAAAACTTAAAACAAACCTTTTTAATACCATCAAAATTTCAAATTATCAAAATATTATACAGGTATCGAGAAAATAAAACGGTAAATCCTTCAGTAAAAACTACTAGGGGTAGTTTTCTTGTGAAGCTATGCAAGTTACACTTCGTTAATAGTAAATTATGCGACTAGTGGGACCAACAGTCGTACACAATATTTTATTGACTATATTTAATATATGGTATATGGTATATGATAATTATGAATTTTTTTCGTCATGACGAGTCGTTAGAATTAAAAGGATGCTTCCGAACATTGGTTCTCATTAAATAAAATATTTGTTTTTTGATGTGTGATAAATAACGACAAAAACGATACCGTCATTGTTGGTAGGGATAGGCACTTAAAAATTATTTAGACCAATTGGTTTAGATTATTATGGTATCATGAAAT